GGCCCGCCTTCCCCGCGGAGGCGGGTCGATGGTCGTGGGGGCGGGGCGCGCGCCTCCCCCGCCTTTCGCCTTCCGGCGCCGGTCGTTCCCCGGTCGCCGCGTCGCCCCGCCCGGGGTGCCCTCGGCGCGTCTCGGGACGCGTGCGACGCGGCGGCGGCGCCCCCCCGCGGTGTCGTCGTCGTCCTCCTCCTCCTGCGGGCGTCGGGTCCGCCCGTCGCCGGCGGGGGGGGGAGCCTCGGCTCACGCGGGGGCGCCCGCCGCCCGGCGCGCGCCTCCCGCCGCCCGCCCTGGACGGTTCTCCGGTCAGGCGGGCGTCCGGGCCGTCCCCGCCCTCCCGCTCGGCGCGTCTCCGTCTCCCCACCCCGGCCCACCCCCTGCCCCTGGGGCCTCGGGGCCCGGGTCCGGCTCTCCCCTTCTCCGTCGCCGCCCCCTCCGCCGCCCCCCCCGGCCCTGCCCGCTCACGCCCCGCTTCCCGCTGCGGCCCCACCCCCGCCCTCCGTGGCGAGATGGGGCCCGGGTCGCGGTTGCGGGGAGGGCCGGGGGTCGGCCGGCCGGGTGTTCTCTCCTGAGGCGAGGTGGTGGCTCCCGGGGGTGTTCCTCGGAAGCGGAAGGGGGTACGGCCGGCCCCGCCCCCGGCGGCTCTTGGGGGCGGGGAGAGACCGGGGAGGGAGTGAGGGAGGCTGGCGCCGGGCGGTGACGGGGCCTGCGTCGCGGCGCCCCCCCCCCGGGCCCTGTTCCGTCACGGGCCGGCAGCGTCGGGGGCTCGCGCCCCTCGCCGGCGGTGGCGGCCGCGGCCGGCCGGGGGGAGGATCGGCGTCGGGGAGGCGGCGGCGGCGGCGGCCCGTGGCCTCGTTCCCCCGCCTCGCTCGTCCCCCCCACCCTCTGTCCAGGTACCTAGCGCGTCCCGGCGCGGAGGTTTAAAGACCCTTTGGGGGTCGCCCGTCCGCCTCGGGTCGGGGCGGTCGGGCCCGCGGGGAGAGAGGAGTCAGTCCCCTCCCCCAGACTCCGCCGCCTCGGGCCCCGCCACCCCGTGGGGCGTGCGGGGGGGGTCGCCGCGCCACGCACGCGTTCCGCGCCGCCGCCGGGAGGGGGCTCGCCCCCTGCCCGGCGGCCGTCGGGCGCGTCGGCGTGTGCGTGCGCCCCCCCCGCGTCCCCGGTTTGGCGTGGGGCGGGGCAGGTGGGAACCCCCTGGGCGCCTGTGGGCTTCTCTGTGCTCGCCCCCACGCGCCGCGGGGGCGAGGGGTCGGCGCCCGTGTCGACCCGTCGTTCATCCGACCCTTCCGACCTTGTCGGTGTCTGATCTCGTGGTCTCCACTGGCCGGCCAGAGGCGCCCTCCGGGGATGTGCCGTGCCAGGGAGGCGGGCTTCCCTCCGCTCGAAACTCGTACGACTCTTAGCGGTGGGATCACTCGGCTCGTGCGTCGATGAAGAACGCAGCTAGCTGCGAGAATTAATGTGAATTGCAGGACACATTGATCATCGACACTTCGAACGCACTTGCGCCCCTGGGTTCCTCGCGGGGATACGCCTGTCTGAGCGTCGCTTGGCCATCAATCGCCGCCCCTGGTGGCGGCGTGGCTGGGGGTTCCCTCGCAGGCCCCGGTCTGCCGGGCCTTCTGTCCCCCTAAGAGCAGATGCGTTGGCCGCCTCCGCGTGCCTCCCTCCCTCCTCAGCTCCTCTCCCTTGCCCTAACCGCTGTGCCCGGTCCTGGCCGCCCGCGCCCCCGCACCCGTGTGGTGCGTGGGAGCCGGGGGCTGGCCCGGCGGTGGCAGCGTGGCCGTGGTGGGGCGTGTGGGCGGGTGGTGGGTTGGGGGTGGGGGTGATGTGAGCGGTGGTGTCCGCCCACGAGAAAAGGAGAGGCGTGAGCTCGCGCTGAGGAGGGCCGCGTTGTGTGCCGCGGTTGCCTCCTGGGGAGATCCCTCCTGCGGCACGCGGCCTCGTGGTCGCACGGGTCGTGCGCTTGCGGTGGCGGAGCGTGTGTGTTGCGGTCCTGTGCCGCTGCGTTTCTGTGTTCCGTGCCGCCCATCTCCCCCTCACCCTTCCATGCTGGCGATCCTGGCCTTCGCCCTGTCGGGGAGGCTCGCCCCGAGGCCGAGTCGCACGTGCGCGTGGGGCCGTGCCACGGGGCTGCGTGCCCCGCCAGTGGCCCGTGTGGCACTGTGGCGCCGCCCGCCGCTGCGCGCTTCTGCCCACCCAGTTCGCACCCTCGACGTGCTGTTGCGCCCCTGAGCCCGCGGTGGGTCGCGTCGTGGTCGCTGTGGGCGGCGGTTCGCGTCCGTGGGAGGGACCTCGCGCGCGAAGAGAGGGAGGCGAGGGGCCGGGTTGTCGCGCGGAGCGGCAGGGTGGTGGGCGAGGGCGTTGTGGGCTGGCGGTCATGTGCGAACGACGTGCCACGACGACGTCCCGCTGCCCGCATGGCTCCCCTGCCCCGACAGGGCCCCGCTCCTCCGCCGCCGGCTCGTGCTCCCTCGCACGGGGTCCCCCGTCCCGTCGTTGGGGGCCCCGTCGCCTCTCGTCTGTGGCTCTCTCCCGGCCTCGAGGCGACTCCTCCGCGGCCCGTGCGCTCGCGCGCCCTCCGAGACGCAGCCTCCGATCAGACGTGGCGACCCGCTGAATTTAAGCATATTCGTCAGCGGAGGAAAAGAAACTAACCAGGATTCCCTCTGTAACGGCGAGTGAACAGGGAAGAGCCCAGCGCCGAATCCCTGCCCCGCAGTGGGGCACGGGACAAGTGGCGTACGGAAGACTCACTCCCCGGCGCTGCTCGTGGGGGGCCAAGTCCTTCTGATCGTGGCCCAGCCCATGGACGGTGTGAGGACGGTAGCGGCCCACGGCGTGCCTGGCATGGGTCTTCCCGGAGTCGGGTGCCTTGGGAATGCAGCCCAAAGCGGGTGGTAAACTCCATCTAAGGCTGAATACTGGCACGAGACCGATAGTCAACAAGTACCGCAAGGGAAAGTTGAAAACTTTGAAGAGATTTCAAGAGGGCTTGAAACCGGTAAGAGGTAAATGGGTGGGGTCCGTGGCATCCGCACAGAGGATTCAACCCGGCGGCGTGTCTGGCCGTTGCCCGCGCCCGGCGGATCTTTCCCCGCCCCACATTCCTCCCGACCCCTCCACCCGCCCAATCCCCCGCCGTCCCCCCTCCCCAGAGGGGGCTCCGGCGGGTGCGGGGGTGGGCGTGCAGGGATGGGAGTGGGGTCGGCGGGGAGTGGGGTCGGCGGGGGACCGCCCCCCAGCCGGCGACCGGCCTCTGCCGGGCGCATTTCCACCGCGGTGGTGCGCCGCGACCGCCTGCGGGACGGCTGGGAAGGCCGGCGGGGAGGTGGCTCGTGGGGACCCTCCGCCCTCCCTCTCGGGAGGGCCGGAGAGCCGGGGGCCCGCCCCCCCGAGTGTTACAGCCCCCGGGCAGCAGCACTCGCCTAATCCCGTGGCCGAGGGAGCAGGCCTTCGCTGCGCTCTCCCCTGCCCGGCGCTCACACCTGCGTCGACTTCGAGAGGGGTCCCCCGCGGGGCGCGCCGGTCCCGTGTGGGCCGGGCCACACCTCCCACGGCGCGAACGCTCCCCCACCCCCGGCGACGGGGCACACGTGGGGCCGCGGTGGACTGTCCCCAGTTCGCCCCGGGCGGGTCACGCAATCGGTGCCGGGGGGTCTCCAGGCGCCAGGCCATGACCAAAGCAGAGCGAAGCGAGCGCACGGGGTCAGCGGCGATGTCGGCCACCCACCCGACCCGTCCTAAAACACGGACCAAGGAGTCTAACAAGTGCGCGGGTCAGGGGCTCCCACAAAAGCCGCCGTGGAGCAATGAAGGTGAAGTCCGGCGAGCAGCGCCGGCCGTGGTGGGATCCCGAGGCCTCTCCAGTCCGCCGAGGGCGCACCACCGGCCCGTCTCGCACGCCGCGCCGGGGAGGTGGAGCATGAGTGCACGTGATAGGAACCAAAAGATGGTGAACTATGCACGGGCAGGGCAAAGCCAGAGGAAACTCTGGTGGAGGTCCGTAGTGGTCCTGACGTGCAGATCGGTCGTCCGACCTGGGTATAGGGGTGAGAGACTACTCAAACCATCTGAGAGCTGGTTCCTTCCGAAGTTTCCCTCAGGATACCTGGCGCTCTCGCACGTGAACCCACGGTTTTATCTGGTAAAGCGAAACATTAGAGGTCTTGGGGCCGAGACGATCTCAACCTATTCTCAAAGATTAAATGGGTAAGAAGCCCGGCTCGCTGGCGTGCAGCCGGGCGTGGAATGCGAGTGCCTAGTGGGCCACTTTTGGTGAGCAGAACTGGCGCTGTGGGATGAAACATACGCCGGGTTTAGGCGCCCGAAGTGGCGCTCATCAGGCCCCGGAAAAGGTGTTGGTTGGTATAGACAGCAGGACGGTGGCCATGGAAGTCGGAATCCGCTAAGGAGTGTGTAACAACTCACCTGCCGAATCCACTAGCCCTGAAAATGAATGGCGCTGGAGCGTCGCGCCCATACACGGCCGTCGCTGGCAGTCGGTGACGCGTGAGAGGGACGGGAGTGGGTGGGGGTTTGTGGCGCACGCAGCGGTCTTCTCCCTCTCCTGGGGGGCGGCCACGGTCCTCGCTCTTTTCTCTCCCCGACCGCCACCCCCGTTGACGCTACGCCGCGACGAGTAGTAGGGCCGCTGCGGTGAGCCTTGAAGCCTAGGCCCGGGCCTGGGTGGAGCCGCCGCAGGTGCAGATCTTGTTGGTAGTGGCAAATATTGAAACGAGAACTTGGAAGGCCGAAGTGGAGAAGGGTTCCATGTGAACAGCAGTCGAACATGGTCAGTCGGTCCTGAGAGATGGGCGAGCGCCGTTCCGAAGGGACGGGCGATGGCCTCCGTTGCCCTCAGCCGATCGAAAGGGAGTCGGGTTCAGATCCCCGAATCCGGAGTGGCGGAGATGGGCGCCGCGAGGCGTCCAGTGCGGTAACGCAACCGATGCCGGCGGGAGCCCCGGGGAGAGCGCTCTTTTCTTTGTGAAGGGCGGGGCGCCCTGGAATGGGTTCACCCCGAGAGAGGGGCCCGTGCCTTGCAAAGTGTCACGGTTCTGGCGGCGTCTGGTGAGCTCTCGCTGGCCCTTGAAAATCCGTGGGAGAGGGTGTAAATCTCGCGCCGGGCCGTACCCATATCCGCAGCAGGTCTCCAAGGTGAACAGCCTGTGGCATGTTGGAACAATGTAGGTAAGGGAAGTCAGCAAGCCGGATCCGTAACTTCGGGATAAGGATTGGCTCTAAGGGTTGGGTTGGTCGTGCTGCGGTGCAAAGCGGGGCTGGGCAAGTGCCGTGGGTGCACGAGGCGCCGCCTACCCCCCCCACGCCCGGGGCACCCCTGCCCCGCCCCGCCCCCGCGGCCCTCCTCCGCCCCACTCCGCGCTTCTCGCCCCCCCGCTCTCCTCCCCCCCCTCCTCTACCCCCCGCTCTCCTCCCCCCCCCGCTCTCCTCCCCCCCGCTCTCCTCCGCCCCCGCTCTCCTCCCCACCCCGCTCTCCTCCCCCCCCCCGCTCTCCTCTTCTCCCATCCCCCTTCCTGGGGGGGCAGGGGCGTGGAAGCGGGGCGGGGGTTGCGGCGGGGTCCCGGCGGTGTGAGAGTTCCCCGTGAGGCCCGCGGGCCCACGGGACACGGGCACCCGGGGGCCGGTGGCGGCGCGACTCTGGACGGAGCCGGGCCCTTCCCGTGGATCTCCGCAGCTGCGGCGGGCGTCGCGGCTGCACCCGGGCAGCCAGGCAGGTGCCCGGTGGCGGCGGACTGTGGCGGTGGTCCCGTCCCCCGTCGCTCCGGTCCGCCGCTCACAGCCCGGCGCCGCCCCCCGCCGCCCGCGTTGGTCGGTGCGCCGGTCCGCCCCGGGCCGCGGTTCCGAGCGGTGCCTCGCCTCGGCCGGCGCCTAGCAGCAGAGTTAGAACTGGTGCGGACCAGGGAATCCGACTGTTTAATAAAAACAAAGCATCGCGAAGGCCCGCGGCGGGTGTGCACGCGATGTGATTTCTGCCCAGTGCCCTGAATGTCAAAGTGAAGAAATTCACTGAAGCGCGGGTGAACGGCGGGAGTAACTAGGACTCTCCTAAGGTAGCCCAATGCCTCGTCATCTAATCGGTGACGCGCATGAATGGATGAACGAGATTCCCACTGTCCCTACCTACTATCCAGCGAAACCACAGCCAAGGGAACGGGCTTGGCGGAATCAGCGGGGAAAGAAGACCCTGTTGAGCTTGACTCTAGTGTGGCGCGGTGAAGAGCCCTGAGAGGTGTAGAATAAGTGGGAGGCCCCCGGCGCCCCTCCGTCCCGGTGTGGGGGCGGGGCGGGGGCCGCCGTTGAAATACCACTACTCTTACCGTTTCTTCACTGACCCGGAGAGGCGGTGAGGCGGCGCGGGGGGGCGAGCCCGAGGTGTTCTCGCTTTTGACCCAAAGCGCCCGGACGCGCCGGCCGGGTGTGAGCCGCTCCGGGGACAGTGCCAGGTGGGGAGTTTGACTGGGGCGGTACACCTGTCAAACGGTAACGCAGGTGTCCTAAGGCGAGCTCAGGGAGGACAGAAACCTCCCGTGGAGCAGAAGGGCAAAAGCTCGCTCGATCTTGTTTTTCAGGATGAATACAGACCGTGAATGCGGGGCCTCACGATCCTTCTGGCCTTTTGGGTTTTAAGCAGGAGGGGTCAGAAAAGTTCCCACAGGGATAACTGGCTTGTGGCGGACAAGCGTTCGTAGCGACGTCGCTTTTTTTTTTAAAGTGCTTTTTTTTTTTTTTTTTTTTTAATGACAGTCACAGAGAGGGAGAGAGGCAGAGGGAGAAGCAGGCTCCATGCACCGGGAGCCCGACGTGGGATTCGATCCCGGGTCTCCAGGATCACGCCCTGGGCCAAAGGCAGGCGCCAAACCGCTGCGCCACCCAGGGATCCCGCGCCGTCGCTTTTTGATCCTTCGATGTCGGCTCTTCCTATCATTGTGAAGCAGAATTCACCAAGCGTTGGATTGTTCACCCACTAATAGGGAACGTGAGTTGGGTTTAGACCGTCGTGAGACAGGTTAGTTTTACCCTATTGATGGATGATGTGTTGTTGCCATGGTAATCCTGCTCAGTACGAGAGGAACCGCAGGTTCAGACATTTGGTGCATGTGCTTGGCTGAGGAGCCAATGGGGCGAAGCTACCATCTGTGGGATTAGGACTGAACGCCTCTAAGTCAGAATCCCGCCCAGGCGGAACGATAGGGCAGCGCCGCGGGGCCTCGGTTGGCCTCAGATAGCCGGTCCCCCGCCGTCCCCGCCGGCGGGCCGCCGCGCGTCGGGACCGGGGACCGGTGCGGAGAGCCCCTCGTCCCGGGAAACGGGGCGCGGCCGGAAAGGGGGCCGCCCCCTCGCCCGTCACGCAACGCACATTCATGGGGAACCTGGTGCTAAACCATTCGTAGACGACCTGCTTCTGGGTCGGGGTTTCGTACGTAGCAGAGCAGCTCCGTCGCTGCGATCTATTGAAAGTCAGCCCTCGACACAAGGGTTTGTCCAGTCCTGTCCTCTTCTTTCCTCCCTCCCCCTGCTGTCCCGCCGCCCCTGCCGCGGCGGGAGGGTGGGCGGGGGCGGAGGCTCGCCGCAGCCTTCCCGTCCCATCCGCCGGCGCTCCATCCTTCCTCTCGCCGGTCCCCTTCCCGGCGAGGTGGGGGGAGCGCTCGGCGCCTGGCGCGTCGGGGCGCCCGGCTCGCTGACCCCTCCTTCCCCGCCGGGGCGCTCGCCCTCGCGCCTCCTTCCCTCCCTCCTGGTGGATCCGGTCGACCAGCGGTACCGCGGTCCCACGGCAGCCGCCCACCCGGCTCGACCAGCAGCACCCCGTTGGCGCCGCCTCGCTCGCCTCGCCTCGGGGACTCCCCGAGGCCGCGCCTCCCGCCTCCCTCTCGCCCTCCCGGTGCGACCATCCTACCGGTCTCCCGCCCCGCCCGCTCCGCCAGCCACATGGCGTGCCCCTGTCTCCGGCCCTCCGCGGGTCGACCAGCGAGCCGTTCCCTCGCGCCTGCGTTAATTCCCTATGTGGGGTGCTTGAGTCATTGGTGCCATCGCGACCGGTGCCTGATACCCAGCGATTCCCCCGTCTCCCCCTTGATCCTCCCCCTTACCCCCTTTATGGATCGATTCGTGACAGATGCACAGAAGCAGAATCCTAGGCACCGGGGAAAAGACGCACCGGACGGGAAACCCGATGCAGTATTCGGGGATCATGTCCTGGCCCGAAGGGAGGCGCTCCACCGCCGTGCCACCCATGCCTCGCCACCAGTTTGCCTTTTTCTTTTTTCTCCATTTTTTTGGGAAGGTTTGTATGTTTGTATGTATGTATGTATGTATTTACTTGTTTACTATTGATTGATCGGTTCATCGATTGATTTATCAGAGACGGAGAAGCAGGCTCCATCCAGGGCGCCTGACGTGGGACTCTCAGCCCACGTCTCCAGGCCACGCCCTGGGCTGAAGGCGGAGCTTGACCGCCGGGCCACCCAGCTGTTACCGCAAGTTTGCCGTTTTTTTTTTTTAAGGTTATTCTTTTTTTCTTCTTTTTCTTTTTTCTTTCTTTCTTTCTTTCTTTCTTTCTTTCTCTTTCTTTCTTTCTTTCTTTTTCTTTCTTTTTCTTTCTTTCTTGACAGGCAGAGACACAGGCAGTGGGAGAAGCAGGCTCCTTGCAGGGAGCCCGATGTGGGGCTCCATCCGAATCCTGGGATCACGACCGGAGCCCAAGGCAGATGCTCACCCGCTGAGCCACCCGGGCGTCCCTAACGCACCCTTCTTGCTCCCCGTTGCTTCCCCACGCTCTTGCGTGTTCCTCTGCTTCCCGCACGCAACCTCGTGCTCTACGTCTATCTCTAGACAACACCCCACCGTATCCGCCTAGGGAATAAGCTAAGACGTGGCCGATTCTCATGGGACCATTCTTGTGCTGAGGACGTGTTCTTGTCTGCTGTAGCGGTGGCGACAAAGTGGAGGGCCCCTCTCCCTGCGCACATGGTGCCGGGTCGTGGGGACGTGAGGCAGCAAGGACGGCTTTGGGGTTGCGGACATTTCTACAACCGATCGGGAACGGCTCCCGCCGTCCGGTGTCCCGCATCTTTGGGGGTGAGGGCTCCAGGACGCCTCGGATGATGTTTCCACGTGCGCCCTTCCCGGGGGCTGGAGCCGAAACCAGAACCGGAACCGGGGAGGCTGGGGTGGTTCGGAAGATGCTGCTGTGGGCAGCGACGGCGGCCGGGCCGCCCCCTAGCGGTGCAGATGTCCCCGTCCCGGGGAGGGGTGGGCGTGGGAGGGGGAGCAAAACATCCCTAAGGAAGGCCCCGCTTGGGCGCCCGACGTTTTCCTGAGTGAGGAAACGCTACTGACCTGGGTGGATCCGCACCAGGCTGTGTCCCAGCTGCTCTGCGATCCCATAGGCCTCACACCTGGACTCCCCGGGCGAGCCAGCTTTCCGGCCCTGCCTGCCTGAGCCTACCTCTCCATCTCTTGCATCCAACTTGCAACTTCAAGTCCCTGAGGTCCAGAGCTTCGGCTCTCTGGGTCCTGCTAGTAACCCAAACAGACAAACACGTTTGCCACACCACACCACACCACACCACACCACACCACACCACACCACTTGCAATCAGGCATCTGCGAAATGAATATCGAGCAAGGGAATTCTCAGCCTTGAACGTTTCTGGGCCCGCTCCCTTGGCTTTCGCACCGGCCAAAGGTCCAAAGGGCTCCGAGAAACCTCAGCACACGGGCTCTGTTTCCGTCCCTCTGAACACACGTTGCATGTCTGTTTCCCTTAAGATACAGAAACGGGGTCGCCTGGGTGGCTCCGTGTGGAGCATCTGCCTTGCGGTCACGTCGTGATCACAGGATCCGGAGATCGAGCCCCACATCGAGCTCCTGGCATTGGAGCCTGCTTCTTCTCCCTCTGCTTATAGGTCTCTGCCCCTTCCTCTCTCCTCTCTCCTCTCCCTGTTTCTCTCTCTCTCTCTCAAAATCTGGTAAAAATAAAAAGAAAGAAAAGGAAAGGAAAGGAAAAGAAAGAAAAGAAAAGAAAAAAGAAAAGAAAAGAAAATTCCCTACGTTCGGACTTCTAGGTCACCCATCAGAAAGATGCCTTCCTGGGATGGGACCCAAGAGGTAGTCCAGAGAAATAAGGACCCGACCCCCCACACACACTTCCCATGAGTCCAAATCATGAAGAAGACGGGGAAAGCAGGCCAGCCAGGCAGACCCAGAAATCCGAAGTCCACACGCACGCACGAGCACCAGAACCGATGCCCAAGGGGATCCCTGGGTGGCGCAGCGGTTTGGCGCCTGCCTTTGGCCCAGGGCGCGATCCTGGAGACCCCGGATCGAGTCCCGCGTCGGGCTCCCGGCATGGAGCCTGCTTCTCCCTCTGCCTGTGTCTCTGCCTCTCTCTCTCTCTCTCTCTCTCTCTCTGTGACTATCATAAGTAAATAAAAATTAAAAAAAAAACAATTAAAAAAAAAAAAACTAAAGTGTGAGTCAGTAAGACACCCAAGGTGGTTTTTTTCTTTTGTGGTGTTGTGTTTTCCTCCCCCACCCCTTGCCCTTTTCTTCCTTCCCCCCTCCCCCCACCTCAGTTCTTGTGTTTCTCTTTTGTCTGATTCAGGAAACCTGCAGATGCCTGGGTGTGTTAGTAAACGTGTTTCAGGTGTGTTTGTTTCTCTTTTCCTTCCTCTTTTTTTTTTTAATTTTAGTTCACAATTCATGAGACACACACACACACACGCGCGCGCGCGCAGCGCACGCGCACGCACACGCACGCACACACAGGCAGAGGGAGAGGGAGAAGCGGGCTCCCTGCAGGAACCCCTGATGCAGGACTTGATCCCAGGACTCCAGGATCACGCCCTGGGCCGAAGGGCAGGTGCTAAACCGCTGAGCCACCCAGGGATCCCCTGTTTCGTGCTTCCTTAACAATTGTATCATACAGGGCAGCCCGTGTGGCTCAGCAGTTTTACTGCCACCTTCAGCCCAGGGCGTGATCCTGGAGTCCCGGGATCGAGTCCCACGTCAGGCTCCCTGCATTGGAGCCTGCTTCTCCCTCTGTGTCTTTGCCTCTCTCTCTCTCTCTCTCTCTCTCTCTCTCTCTCTCTCTCCCTCTCCCCTCTCCCTCTCCTCTCTCCTCTCTCTCACTCACACACAAACACACACACAGAGAATCTTAAAAAAAAATGGTGTCCTACATGTTAGGTTTTTACAAAATGAACAGCGGAGAAATAACAAAAAACCAGCAGAGCCAGGCAGTAGGTTCGAGAGTGCTTTAATGGGGAGCGCTCCTGGGCGAGATTCCATGACTTGGAGGGGTGGCCAGAGTCAGGGAAGTCGCGCGGGGTTGGGGACTGGGGGGGGGGGTTTAAGCCTTCTTGGTTCGGGCTCTGGATCCGGGCGTGTCCCTTGCCAAATTAGACAAGGGAACAGTGTGTCCTTAGGTGATTGGCTGGGGGTAGGGGGGATAGTATCAGAAGATGGGGAGGGGAGGGGGCGGGGGCGGTCCCTGGATGGAAAGTCCTGGATGGAAAGTTTCGGTTTCCCATCTAGGCTTCGACTTACTGGAGATGATGTGGTGGTGGTCAGGGCTGCTTTGACGGGAAGATCAGCCATTTTGACCCAGTTTGAGATGTCCGCCATTTTGGGTGCCCATGTCTCTCAGCCAGCCCAACAATACACACACACACACACACACACACACACACACACTCAGTGTTTCTAAAAACTATTACATGTATTCATACATTTGACAATCTAAGGATTTCTGGTACGATAGACAATGTGCCCGGTCCACGACTCACGAGACTGAGGTTCCTAGGAGTTAACAGTCTGCCGCCTGGGTGGCTCAGCGGTTGAGGGGTTGAGCATCGGCCTTTGGGTCAGGGCCCAATTCTGGGGCGGGGGGGGGGCGGTGTCTGAGTCCGGACCCATTTCCACATCTGCCTCCTTGTGGGGAGCCTGCTTCTGCCTATGTCTCTGTCTCTGTCTGTCTCTCTCCCTCCATCCCTTCCCCCCTTCACAAAGTTCTCTCTCTCTCTCTCTCTCTCTCCCTCAAAAGTGTAAAATAAGTACAATTTTAAAAAATCTGCCACATGGAATCGAGACTACTGGTTAACGATAAGGAAAACAACCTCTGTGTGTGAGATAGTAGGAGACATGTAGAAGTAGATACAAGGCATGAAAATGCGGGGGTGGTGGTGGTGGTGGTGGTGGTTAAAGAAAATGAATCTGTCCTGAAATGACTCTGGCTTTTTTTTTTTTAAGATTTTATTTACTTATTCATGAGAGACACAGGGACAGGCAGAGACAAGGGAAGCAGGCTCCATGCGAGGACCCTGATATGGGACTCGGTCCCAGGAGTCTGCTGGGATCACGCCCTGAGCCGAAGCCAGACGCTCAAACGCTGAGGCACACGGGCGTCCCAAAGCCTGGCTATTTAGAGAAAGAACACTTAAGACAGACGGAACGGAAAAAGAAATTATAGAAGGGATTTCTGA